AGACAGGGAGAGACAGAGAGAGACAGACAGACAGAGAGACAGACAGAGACAGAGAGACAGACAGGGAGACAGGGAGAGACAGACAGACAGACAGAGAGACAGACAGACAGAGAGACAGGCAGAGACAGAGAGACAGACAGACAGAGATACAGACAGAGAGACAGACAGACAGGGAGAGACAGAGAGACAGAGAGACAGACAGGCAGACAGGGAGACAGGGAGAGAGAGAGACAGAGACAGACAGACAGGGAAACAGACAGACAGGGAGAGACAGACAGACAGACAGACAGACAGGCAGACAGGCAGACAGACAGACAGGGAGAGAGAGAGACAGACAGAGAGACAGACAGGCAGACAGACAGACAGGGAGACAGGGAGAGAGAGAGACAGAGACAGACAGACAGACAGAGACAGAGAGACAGACAGAGAGACAGACAGACAGGGAGACAGGGAGAGACAGACAGACAGACAGGGAGAGAGAGAGACAGAGAGACAGACAGACAGACAGAGACAGAGAGACAGACAGAGAGACAGACAGACAGAGAGACAGAGAGACAGGCAGACAGACATCACATCTTTGGGCCTTAACAGCAGCGCCACCATGTGGCCGATTGGGGTACATTCACATCGTTTCCAGTTATTGTTCCAAGTTTCACCCAAATAAGAGTTAAATGAATAAGAACAAAGTATAAAAGTTTAACAGTAACAAACAAACACAAAACAACTCACAGTTGATGATGACGATCTTCACCATGGTGACGGAGAAGAAGGGCAGCGGCTCCAGAGGAACTTTGACGAGGACGGCGGTGGTGATGAAAACGAACATGATGACGAGCAGACTGCCCATCACGCGCAGATGCTGAGGAATACTGACGCAGGGAGAAGAAGCTCAAGGAATCATCCGAGAGCTCAGGGAGTTACATGAAGAAGAAGAGCAGCTGAGTCAGAGACACTGAACTAGAGCTGACCAATGCAACACATTATATTACAGTTATGATGTATGAATGTGTTAATGATGACATGTCACACTGAACAACGTCTTTACAGTGAACCTCCTGCTGTGTTACGGAGCGGCCAGACCTCTCAGATGATCTGGGACGGGTCTGCTTTCTGTCCTCAGAGACAAACTAAACATGAATAAGTAGCGCTCGGTTTATGTGCGTCTTACATCTGGAATAAAGTCCCAGAAAACTATAGCTCAGCTGCTACCTCTATAAAACATTAATTACATTGTTTTATTCTATCGTATACCGCTTCTGTTAAATTCAGCTTCTTTTTATTTTCTATTCTCTTCACTGTTAAATTACAGTTTTAATTGTATTTACATTCATTTGTGTTTAATTTGCACTACCTTCATGTTTTAGGCAAAGTGCTTTGAATCACCTTGTTTGCTTCAATGTGCTATAAATGAATTTTCCTTCGAGGGCTTTACAATCTGTACACATACGACATCCTCTGACCTTTGACCCTCACATCCCTCAGGAAACCCTCAGAGCTCAACAGAGGAGGGATCAATAGACGTCATGTGTACAGAATGAACATCACAACAGAGTCACAACAGAGATGCATGAGACAGAAACGGTACTATGAGAGGATAGTAGCAGCAGTAATAATAGCAGAAGTAATAATAGAAAAATGATGACACGGGTCCAGTGGATTTCAGAGTCATGTAGGACTCTTCTTCATTGGTATTGATATGTTGTAGTACTCACAGCGTGTGCAGGAAGGAGTTCAGGCAGGTGCAGAAGAGCAGCGGCAGCATGGCGCACAGTGTCATCACGTTGTTGAATTTGGCCTCCAGAAGGCTGCGATGGTCACTTGATGCCTCTGTCTGATTGGCTGAAGAATCAACCAATGAGGAGTCCTTCAGACGGCTGGTGAAGTACTGAAGACACAGACACAGATTCTGTTCATATATATAATGCAGACTCAAACCAACATGTGGCTCTCAGCTCCAATCCCATTGGTTGCTACCGAACACATTAAGATTTATAAACACACACGTAGAAACTACACTTAAACTACAAACGTGACTAAAATAGGAGGAAATGTTGCACATTAGTCAGATTTTAACTGTTAAAAAATAAATGTTTGTACAGTTTGATTAGACAATAATGTGAACAGTAACAATGATGAATTAATCTTTACTTTAATATAATACACATACTATAATATGGTAGAATACAATAAATATTTACAGCAGCTGCTTAATTCACTTCACTTTTTATTAACTTCACTCAATATGTGAACAATGTTTAAATTCTCCATCCTTCAAAATAAAAGCTGGTTCATTAGCAGAAGATGATGTGTGTGATGGATAACAGACAGGAAGTGACATCATACCATGGTAGCAGTCATGAAGAAGTTCCAGGGCAGCAGCGTCCCCAAACCGAGCATGAAGAAGATCAGCCACACGCCAAAATACCTGCAGGAAGATGTTTTCAAAATAAAATAGTTTATCGTGAAACTTACACAAAACCACTGTGAACCACCGTGAGTTTTTACTGTACTTTGGGAACCTTAACCCAAACCGTTACTATGACCTTCAGTTTTAAATCATTATCAACAGCTGCCAGCCATCACCTCTACTCCACTGAAGGTGATGGCTGGTAGAGGTAGACCACCTGGATCACACTCTACAGAAGGTGATGGCTGGTAGAGGTGGACCACCTGGATCACACTCCACTG